AATCATCAATTTTATTTATATATATTTTTTATATCATACTTTGACTTTAAAATAATTTGTCACTCCCTTGACAAGAGCTGTAATATAATGATAAAATAACATTTCATTATTAAAATAGTTAAAATCATTAACATATCGTCGATCTAGAATTGGAGGCTCCACTCGACATTTTCAAAATTTTTGAGTTAGGAATATTAATTATTTCCAAAGTTATAATAGCTCTGTCAAAATTGATCAATAAGGTTTTCCTATATTTGATTTTAAACTTTAATGCTGATTTTCTCATTTTAAACATTTTGGCAAGTGGAGCACTCCAATTCTAGGCCGACGATATAGTTTGTTTAATATATTTTTAAATAAACAAATTAATTTGATTTTAATATAAAGTATTCCTGAATTTGGGTCTGAGAGCACCCCACCTATTCTCTCGCCTAATTTTTTTTTGCATCTGTGCAATGAAGGGTTAACAATAAAAAATTTAGGATAAGACTTATTTCTAAATAATTATTTCGGGTTCGGTAAGGCAAAAATTTTAAAATATTTGTTTCAGATCGGATCTGAAAAGGGGAGGGGGACCTAATAATGTTAGAACTGGTTCTTGGAAATTTTTAAAATGGTATTTCTGTCTTTACGAGTTTTTTCAGAGGGATTCCATGCTGATTGCCTTTAGCTACTGCCAAGTCAACATATAGCAATTTTCGTTAAACAACTACCAATTATATTTTTTTGAAATGCAATAATATTCATTTTTCATATATTAGGTGATGGGATCACGCGATCATCTCCGATCTACTATATATCATCATCCGCCTTGGACGGAACCACCAAATTAGTTTCAAAAGAAACAAGGACTATAGGAATGGAGATCCACATATGGCAGTGTCGATCCAAACAAAAAACAAATTAAATACCTATTGGTTCAACACCGCTTTTAGTGGTAAATAACAATAACCAAGTTTCCCGGATTTTTTTTCCAAACTCATGCATTATTCCTTAGCTGTCCCTTTTTTTATTTAAAAAAATATAGAATTTTACTTACTTTTCCTCCTTTTAATTTTTTTTTTTGAATGGTCAAATAATTTCATAAAGAATGTAATGAAATTTTAGAAAGAAATAAAGATTTTAGTAAAAAAAATAAGTAAAAGAAATGATAAAAAAAAATATCTTCGACAAATTTATTTTATTATTATTGCATCATAAATATAAAAAAAAACCCTTTTTTTGTAACAATTTACACAATATATTTTTTCCCCTTTTTATAAATTTATGCTTAAAAAACGTTAAAAGCGACGAATTGTAAGCGAAAACCCCAATTTTTCCCCGAAATTTTCAGCATATTTTTTTCCCATTTCTATTGGTTATTAAAATTAATATTTATTCAATATAATATATAACGGAGACCTGTAGGCCAGGCCAGTATTTTAATTTTTTAAAATATACCCGGGCTGGGCCATAAAATATAAAACCCGGGTCGGGCCGTAAAAAAATTTTGAATAAAAATCCGGGCCGGGACCTCTGCAGGTCACTGATGTATAACACCAATAATAAATATAAAATTAATTCATATTTTTCTGATCAGTAAGAAAAAAATTGATAATCGCTTTTTTCTCCAAGATTGGGACTATTGAAGCCAACTTCCTGGAGCAAATTAAGGCTAAAAAGGGATAGGTTCTAAATCACTATAAATTGGGAATCTCGCTTATTTCCCCTAGAAAAATTTTAAATTAATATTAATGGATGCCAGGGAGGTAAACACTTGTATTTAAATTGAGTTTTTTAAAAATGGAGGAAATATCATCCATTTTACCAATTTGTTAAAAAGTACTTACATCTGAGTATTTGTAATCTTAATAAATTTCTAAGTACCTGATCAATTTTTAATATACTTTAACCAGTGACATATAACTAACGATGAATTCATTAAAAGTGTACATCAATTAAAAACAGCTGAGAAAGCCATTATGACGTCATTTTGTTTTCGTGTAGCATATATAAAAAAAATTTAAATTTTAATGTAGGCGAAGTAAAATAATATGTACCTAATATTTATTCCAAGGCTATTCACACAAGAAAATATGAATTTTATTTAGGTTAAAATGGCGATGTCATGTGGTCTCCAGCTGATTATCATCAGTCTAGGTACTTTATTTTTTCTAGGATAAAACTTGGTTAAACCCATATTGGAGGAAGTTATTTAACAACACCAACTGCAAAAAAAAGTCAAAATAAAAAAAATTAATTCAAATGGTTGAGGTTGAGCATTTTTTAATGCCTTAGATCATGCATATTTCATTGATTACTATAAATGATGTTTTATTATTATAAATTAAAAAACCTTGAGACAATTGGGTTTAGAATTGTTTAATAAATATATAATATTTTCTTAATTTCATATCAAAACTAAGTATGGGGAGACAGTGTGCAACATTCATAATTTTTTAATCAAAATTCATTCATTACAAATCACTTGATATTTTTAATTATTATTTTTTAATTTTAAGACAAGTTTTTTTATTAAATTTAAAAATAGCATAATATATAAAACAATATTAAAATAACATGTTAAAAAGTCATGCATACAATTAAAACAAGATAAAGTAAAAAAAAACATAAAAGGGAGGGGGCAAAAAAAGGCTCCCATTGAGATCACAAAAAACTAAGATAGTTTTTAAACTTATTTTAGTTAGTGAAAATTAAATAGTAACCTTTTCTAAGCTTAAATATTACAATTTTTTCATAAATTTATTTGATCTTATATTTATAAACACTAATAAACAATACTCAAATAAAGGGTTGTTGAAAAGCCCAATTTGAGTCAATTTTTAAAAATGAGCCAGCCGATTAATATTTTAGCCAAAATAGCATCTTGTAAGCTTCGAGATTTGATGAATAGAGGGCTTTCTACCATCTATGATTAAAATCTCCAAGCTTATATAATTTTCCAAATTGAGCTTTGTAACAACCCTATGCATAAATACGACATATATAACTAGTATTTCTTTTTAAATGTAAATTTCAGAAATAAAAGATGTTTTTGTCTAACCCTGTTTCTAAATTTGGATTGGACTGGGCCAAGAGACAGAAGGTATTACAATAAGTTGATTGAAGATTAGGATTATTTGTCTATTATCACCAGAACTTTTTATATTTAAGGATCTTCATTATCCAAGATTAGATAGATTATTTAGCATGAGAGGCAAAGATTTCTGATTTGATTTGATGTGTAATACCAGGTGAATCTGATAACAATATATCCAAGTTATCATCTTTAAAAGATCTTTAAAGGTTGATAATTATAACTTATGGGGTACCTTCACAAATTTTATATATTGTTAAAAATTCTAGGTTACCATCTGTTAGTATGTTCTATATAGCCTCACTTGGATCCTTAATATAGGCAGTATCAAAAATATTTTATCTAAAATATTTAATATTTGGTTAGTTTTATACTTTTTTACATTTTAATTAGAATTAATTAAATATACATAAGCACATTAAAATTTTAACTAATTGGAATTAATGCTTTTATTATTTCTCATCATTAATGTTTTGGGCATTACCAGTCTGCCCTTATAACTAGTGTTGCAAAATAACTCAATTTGAGCTCATTTTTAAAAATGGTAACTCCATTTTTAGCCAGAAAAATATTGCCGATGCCTCTGGCTAATAGATACCCAAACCTTTGTGCCATCTATGAGCAAAATCTTTAGGCTTGCATATTATTTTTCTGGATACAATATTGAATTGAGCTACCCTTCTTTAAAATAAACTCAAACAGAGCAATTTTTATCACTACTTATAACCATGCAATTAAAATACGGTTATAATGGGACTTATCTTTTCAAATTGTATTGATTTTCCTATATTAGTAAAATGTTTACTTTTTCAAGTGTTAAATAGAAGTATAAATGATAAAGACATGGGCATGACTAAAATACACGTCCCCGGTCAAGATAGATTATTTTTATAAAAATGAATATAGAATCGTGTATAGTTTTTCATGGAGATTTCGAAAATGGTATTAAGAAATTTTTTTTTGACTAAACTACGCGTCTCCGAAATTTTTTTTAAAAAAAATTCTTAATACCATTTTCGGAATCTCCATGAAAAACTATACACGATTCTATATTCATTTTTATAAAAATAATCTATCTTGACCGGGGACGCGTATTTTAGTCAAAAAATGAAAAAAATGAGTGTTTTTTTCAAAATTTTACTAAGTTAACACTTCTTTTTTAAATCAAAAAAACATTTTCTGTATCCATTTAATGAGCTAAATATGAATCTGCTTTTATTTTCTAAAAAAAACTGTATCTTGATAGGGGACGCGTAGTTTTTTCATGTAAAAAATTAGAAAAAATAAATTTTTAAAAATTTTACTGTTAACACATTTTTTTTAAATCATAAAAAACATTTTCTATATTCATTTAATGAGCTAAATATGAATCTGCTTTTATTTTTAAAAATAATTGTATCTTGACCGGGGACGCGTAGTTTTTTCATGTAAAAAAATAATTTTTTAAAAATTTTACTAAAATATCATTTTTTTAAAAAAATCATAAAAAACATTTTTTTAACTTATTTTATGAAGCTAAATAAGATTTTTAATTAATATAATACAAATTAAACCTCTTTGACCAGGGACGCGTAGTTTTCAGGGACGCGTATTTTAGACATGCCCTAAAGACATCACTTAAATAAAATATCATAAAAATAAATTTTATTCAAAATTCCAACATTTAAAGCTTTGCCATATGAAATCCAACATATTTTAAAAATAATATAAGCCTAAAATTAAAAAATCAAAGTCAATGATTTAAATAAATCCTGTTAATTCTGCATCTTGCCTGGCCTAATTAAATTAGAAAATTTTAAAAATATTGCTTAACCCCCCTTTATGAAAAAAATAAATCTTGTTGAAAGTTAACTTATTTTAATTGAAATTTAACATATTTTTTTAATGGAGTATCTTGCCAATTTTCTAATAAAATGCTATCAAATCAAAATAATTCTTTTTTTTATTTAAATATTTTGTCTGGTTCAAAAAATAAAAACTGTTGGTATATATATATATAAATAACATTACAGAAATAAATGTAAAAAAATATATTTCAATTTTGGGAATTATAATTTAACACGTATTAATATCTACAAGATTAAACAATTTACATCCCCCATGTCAAAATTTAGTGCAAGCAAATAACCTTTGTGGGTAAATTTTGATACAAAATGATGTTATTTATGTGTATAAGAATAATTGGTTACAAATGTTTTGTTAATAAAATTGGTTTGATGAGAATTTGGTCATGAAGATTCCACTTTTTCCTATTTAATAATTCAATAATTTTTAATTTGTGCTTAATTTTTTTAACTTTTTCTGTAGCTGCGGTTGTGTTGGAAGATATAGAATGTTGATTGAACGATGTTTGGATTATTTGATGTCTTAAAAAACAAAATAATATTTGCATTTCACATATTAACTAATTTACTTTGAGGATATCCCACCTCCAGGTGGATACTCATATTCCTGACGCTCTAATTCTTGCAGTATAAATGACATGTTTGCTGTTGGATTTGTTTCACATATTTCTGTATATATTTTTCAAAAAAATATTGATAATTATATGTAAAGTTAATGGAATTTTTATAAAAAAGCTAACCTTTTATTTTTAAATCAATACTTTGATTTAATTTTGTATCATCTTCTATAGCTTTTGAATTTAATTGTGGTGAAGCATCAAGGGTGACTAAAATTATGCTCATGTTATCACGACTTCCCTTAAAAATATACATAAATTGTAAATATTTTTATATTATTTACTTTTTGTAGGCAAGTGTCCACAACTTGATTACACACACTTTCAAGATTGTCACAAACTTCTAGCCTATTTCTAACATATTTACATATATCATCAGAACTCATAACATCCCAAATTCCATCACATGCTAATATAATAAATTCATCTTTTGTGGGATCTCTCAACTCTATACGAATATCAGGTTCAGGTGAGACTAGTTGATCAAATGGATGTTTACCAGAATTGTTTTTATAATCAAAATCTCCTAATGCGCGTGAAACAGCTAAAGACCCATTAACACGTTGTATCAGCACAGATCCACCAGCTTTAATTATGCGAGCTTTTTCATTTGGTTTTGAAGGTTTATGATCATCAGTACTGTAAAAACATGCATTACTTCTGGATAAAACTGCCCTGGAATCACCACAATTTATAAATATAAAATGTGTAGGTGAAATTATCACTGCAACAGCAGTTGATCCACTTTTATCTTCCCCTTTTTCTAATTTTGGGAATGTTTTAAGTTTTTCGTCAATTTGTAAAAATGCATCTTTTATTGATTTTTCTAATAAACTATAATCTATATTTTTTGGATCTCTTTCAATAGATTCTTTTAATTCTTTGCATTCAAGTATAGAATTAAGAAGATTTTCAGCTAAATAAGATGAAACAAATCCCCCAGCATGACCATCAAACAAACCAAAAAAGGCCCAATCATTCAACCCATTGGGTAGACCCAAACAAGCACAATGTGAATCTTCCATCCTGACTCTCCAGCCTTGCATTGTACTGATACCATATTTTATAGTTTTATTATCCCCATGTTCATTGTATTTTTCAGTCGATGGTTTATCAAGAAAGGTTCCCATGGCGAATTTTTCATTAATTTTAAGTCGTTTTAATAATAATCGTGTGATGATTTTTAGCATAAAATTTTAATTTTATAAATTAGCCAATTGTAAAATTAAGTGACGGGCATCTTTTATAATCATAATATGATATGATAAATGAAGCCAAAAGCCCATTTCTATTTTTATTTTTTATTGTAAATCACAACATATTATACGTAAATTGGTATAGTTGGCCTTTGGTTTATTTATAATTAACTGCTTATTTACTAATTGAAGATCTTGATAAAATATATTTAAATTATCATACCAAATATAAATTAATTCTTTTATGTAGGGGTAAACTGTAAATGTAATAAAATAACTTTTTCAATTAAGCTAGAAAAATGACTTAAATTTATAATTAACATATGGCCTGATTTAAAAATAAGTAATTACAAGTATTAATAGTAAATTATTTGGTTTATTCGAATATTTAAATTGTAAATTTGAATAATTTAATCGAATTAGAATTTTTATAAATATTAACAATAATAATGTTTTTTCTATTGATAACTTATCCAATTCATTAGCGTCTTCATAAGTGTGTAGAGGGAGGGGGGGTAGAAGCGTTCTGCTTTTTTTGTAAGAGGCTAGGCATCTAGAAGGTAGAGGAGAGGGGCAGACTGGAGGTATAGCGGTCACTTGCCATATTTATCTAGAAGCCTCGTTTTTGGGAGGCTCTTCCCATTTTTACCCGGCCTTCGTTGAGCTCTCTACAATAATTTTTACATATTATATATGGTTTCTATTTATATATTTTTATACAAAAACATGCATAAACGATAGGCTTAATAATATATTGCAAACAGTGTTTTGCAAATTTTCAGAATATTGTAAGGTATAGATATATATGATGTTAATTTTGTATTTAAAATATAAGATACTTGGCAAAAATATCAATAAGATACTTTTGTATATCATATTTTAAAAAATAACATCTAATTTACAAGATAATTTTTATCATATTTTAAAAAATAACTTCTAATTTACAAGATAATTTTTATCATATTTTAAAAAATAACATCTAATTTACAAGATACTTTTAAAAATAATTTTAATAAATCGTCAAGTCAAAGATAAAGAAAATATAAAATTAAATTTATCCTTTTTACATAATCTTTTAGTTCAAATATAGATAATGGATGCATGAGTTTTATAACAAACGAAGTATTAATATTATTATTTTTGTTGAAATTTTGTTTCTTTTTTTATATTTAGAAACATTTGGGCTTTTGGGTTTATCTTTTGGCATTGACGATGCTCCTGAGATCTTTAAGTTTTACTATCCCCTACATGATATGATATTTAATATTTTAATAAATTTATAATGCGCCAATATTGTAATTCAATTCATATTTATTCATGCTTTTATTCCACATATAAAACTATCAATAATATAAATTGAAAATAAACAAATAATAATGTTAGACAGTTAAGAAATACTATCCGATATTATAATACATATATAAATATTATTTCCATTATATCAATATTCTCTATATATGTATTATAATGCAATTATACTAATGTAATTTCTATATTACTATAAAATAAATTTCATTATAAATGTGATCTTTAATAAAATAATATATTATAATTTTAAATATGACCAAATTTTATTATAAGTATGCAGAGCCACTTATAAATTTATGGTATTCTTTACACTTGCTTTAGTTTTTTTATTTAGATTAGTATTTTCATGTTGGGTGAACTTTTAAATTTTTTTTTAATATGCTTAAATATATAATGTAATTGTATTCTCATTATTTATTACCATCATTGTTTTTTTTTGATTCTATAATTATAGCTTCGATAACTTGATTCATAATATTTGAGATATTGAGATGTTGTGATTTTAATAAAATATTTTAGTTAGTTGTTTATCAAATTGTTATATGGCGACCAGCATAATATATCATTATCCTATCTCTTAAAATTTCTAAAATCGAACTATCTTTTTCATTTAACAATCCCAACCCAATTATAATGATGAGCTAACTACATATCCTCATTTTCATTTACAAATTTAATTAATAGAATAAACAGATGACCAAAATAATCTATTTGGAAAATTAGTCCTTTATTAAATTTTAAAATGATAATCATTGTTATTAAATTAAATTAGACAATAAGATATCAACCTGTTTCCATTAACCTTATTATAATGCCTCATAATCAATAAAGTTCCTTATCACATTTTTCGATGTTTATTATTTATTCTTATCAACTATGTATCAACAGCTTTTTGTTACCAATACATGTTCTAAATAAAGGTAATCTAACCCTGGTTGGCGTACTATAGCGTTGAAGAATTTCATAGACATATTAAGCAATGTATACACTTGTTACTGAAGTGGCTCAATTTCGCTATGGTCTTTAATTTATCAGAATATTCCCTCTAGCCTTTACAATCTTAGAGAGGGGCTCGAAAATTTGGAGAGTACTTGAATCCCTGTATTCTAATTTACTACAAGCATGAGATGGTATCGAAAAATAAGCTTAGTCTTTTTTAGATATAATTGTTTATCCCATAAAGATATGAAGTATGGCCATTTGTTTCATTTAAAAAATTATTAACTTTTACATTCTTTCAAATTATTGTTTAAGATTAATGCATACATTCTTGGAGGAAAGGGGGTGGGGAAGTGGCCTGGAGGGGGCTAAGGAGAATATTTTTATTAGCTTAAAATGATATTCACAAAAAGTTACAAATTTTTAAGGGGGGATTTCCCCTTACTCTCCCATCATCCTGCTGGCTACAACTATGAAGCAACTGCATCATGTCACCGCTTACACTTAGTTTGCTCTGATCGAAATATCACAGAATTAGATTTATCTTCTCCAATCTCTGCTTGATTTCATTTCGTTTCGGGCCGGGTCGGGCTTTGGAAATTTTTTAAAATATATTTAGATTTATCAATTTTATATTGAATTTTTTATGTAAAATAAAAATATTTGATTTTATTTATAGAACTAGACGCCATATAACATATGTCTTTTATTTTGAGTAATTATTAAAATTAATTTATATATTTTAATAAAATCGGGCCGTGCCCGCAAAACTTTTTTAAAAAAATTTAAGGCCGGGCCAGACTTGAAAAATTAGGCCCTATGCACATCACTAGCTTGAATCATGTCTAACCTCTACCTAGCTAATTACTGAGTTGCACGAAACTCCTTAAGGCTCAGCTGAGTTTCGAAAATCTTTTCCATTCAAGCACAGATTTATTTTGTTTAAACGTATTTTACTCGATCCATTGATTTTTAGAGAGGCCCAGATTTATTTTTAAAAATTTAATCGTATTTAAAAATTTATTATATTTTGTAAATTTTTATAAAGAGAAATGGAAAATATGAACCTCAAATGAATGTCTTCCAACTAAGTTAATTGAAATTTATTTTAAAAGATTCCACCCGGCTTGGGTTAAAAAATATTTTAAAATCTAAAAATCATACTATAATCCAGCCCCGCAGCTCGAGTTTCAGGCCGGGCCTGCAGATCATTTAAATATGCGCCTATATAACTTGAATTGACGATAAAGTTTTAATTTTATTACGCGGCGAAATGACCGTTATTTAAATACAACGGTTAGTTTTATATTACATTATAATTATTTAAATAATTATGAGAAAAAACATGTTACACTGTTAAATAAAGAATTCATATTCCAAGGTTGTCAAATCATTCATGCATATACATAGTCATACAATAATTCAAAATGAAAAGATAAATAATGGGAGATTTGAAATTATTTTACTATCCAAAGAAGAAAGAAAAAAAAATATTTAAAGATTTAAATTAAGATAATGTTCAAAATATGTATTAAGAATGTCGGTAATTAGTCCCATACATAAAAGCTATTTAAACTTGGAGTAAAATGCTTTTCAGTGGAGAATGGAGATAGTTGGCATTAAAAGGTCTGGGTCAAAGCTTAAATATTGGTTAGGGTTTGTTCCAAAAGTAATAATGCTAAATACCATTTTAAAAATTTTTATGCTTGATTTGGACCAGAAACACATTATATGAGTAAAGTCTAGACTCTAGAGTCATATTTTTTTAAAAAAATATTGTCATATATCTCGCTACGGTAAATAATTATGGGATATTTAATAGACTCCCGCTGAGAGTATTATGAAAACGTTTATTGATGGATATGGTAATCGTTAAAAGGAAAACCCATTAAATTTATATAAATAATACCTTAAAATACCATCAGGTATAATATGTAAGCGCACTCAAGATTAAAAATTCATCCCATATTTATACATGTTTGTTGAGAACAAGTGCTCAGTGTCACAGCACAATTCGAAAAAGGACCATAAAAAATCAAAAATGAGATTTTATTAAACTTATTTTAAAAAGTAAAAAAATTTCTAATCTATAGGTGTGGAAGGTTGATTTTGAATACATTTTTGATTTCGAAAAATAAAAAAAAAAATAGCCGATTGGGAATTCAAACGTGAAATTTATTAATAATATTAATATTTTATTATTTTTTTTTGCAGAAGGAATAATTTAATCTTTAACGTAACAATTCGTAAGAAGATATCTTTTATATCTTAAAAATGTAAATGGTTAGCAGGTGCCAAAAAGAAAAAAAATTAGTTTATTTTTTTTTGGAAATTTAAAGGTCAATTTATTCTTTAAAATATAATTAATATTATTATAAATAAATATATATTTTTTTTAAATAGTTAAATTTTGAAGTAAAAAAAAAAGTTGATCCAATCCATGAATTTATTTTTAATATTAGCTATCATTTTATTAAGTAACAAAAAAACATCTAATGATTTATGAAATTATATTATATTAATGTATTATGTATAAAAAATTTTTTTTTTATCCAATAATAATAAATATAAATGTATAATGTTAAATATTCATTCTTATAAATTTATTTTATTTTTTTTTACATAAATTTTTAAAAAAAAATCAATTTAAAATTTTGATATAAATAATAGTTAAGGTGAATAGAGGCGTGTCTTTAGAATCGACACTTGATTATTGCTGCAATCGCGGAAATCTCCAAGCCCTAGAACGAAATCACTGCTTATTCCCTAATCACACAGAAGTAATTTTATATGCAACATTTATTTTAGATGCAAATATTCTGTATAAAATAGTGATCGAGATCGGGTCTAAAAAGTTTTACCCGGCCCGAACCCGAAATATTTTTGAAAAAATTTAACGGCCCGGCCCGAATTTTATTAAAAAATATTAGGCCCGACCCAGCCGAACTCATTTTTTTTAAAAAAATAGGCCCTTAGGGCCAGGCCAACTTTTGCAGATCTCTAGTATAAAATACTTCCTTTTCTTCTAATTTTATTAACTATTTGAGGGTATGTGATTGTGATGTTCAAGTTCAAAATTAAATTAAAATTTTTTTAATTCCTTTCTTTTGGTCAGGACAGGACCGTATTTTAATTTTTATAAATATACCTGGGCCTGGCCAAATATTTTAAAACCAAATATTTTAAATCGTCATTGTTATCTATATAAAGATTAAAAATAAATATAATATATTTAAAAATAAATCCGGGCTGGGCCTAATTTAAAACCATGGCCGGGCCGTGCATATGGTGCCTCTGCAGGTGCCTGCTTTTGGTAATTATAATTATATATATTTTTTAAATATTAAATGTAATCGGTATAATAACATGTGCAAATCTCTAATTGCTTGTGACCTTCCACCTTATTACGGTTACTTATCGGAAAAGATAGAAGTCCACTATACAAATTTTATTGGGGATGAGAGGAGGGGGGGGGGAGGCGAGGTTTTAATTTATTTATAAAAACATATGATCATAAATAGAGAAGCTAAACTATCTAGTTCCAGATGATAGAGCGTTTTGACGCGAGTACCGTTTAGGCAGGAGCACCCGGAGAAATAAATATGAAAATTTTGTAAAAAATATGCCAAGTTTCCTAAGCTTTATTTTTTTTTATTATAATTATATCTTGCATAATGTATATAGTGTATAGTAATATATGTTAATCGATAAATATTTCATTGTCATTCTAAAAGAAAATTAGACTATACCTAAAATACTGTATATTTTTGATGTTATATGCTAATTTTAATTCCAGACTTTTGCGAAAATTTTTCTACATATTATTTATTAACAATTCCCCCCCCCCCCTTTTTTTTTACTATTTCCCGTTTATGCAAGAAATGTAATTTAAAAAAAACGTTATCAGATTAGTATTTCTAGTTTTAAAATTTTATGAACAACAATTCTGAGAGAAAGGAATTCACGAAGATCATTTTTATGTGCAACTGTGCACTGCACCCTTCTACATCTTGCCACTGGTTCCCATGGTTCCAAGATATAACGTCTTCAACTGACCAATGACGGGTCTTTTTTTAATATTTAACAAATCAGTTTTGTATTTTAAAAAATAAAATTCACATTTTCCTTAAAAATAATTGGTTATCATTTTATATTCATCTTTTTGTTTTAGATAACTTCCCGCACCTTTTAAAATGGAGGATATATTGGACTCTGGAAATTTAAATACAAAATTAGCAGAAACCTGTGGAGGTCGAAACAGACCCGATCCTAATTTTTACAAAAATCAACTTATTTTCCAATCCGGTCCCAACCGGGATTTAAAATTTTTTCTATTTTCACGCCCGGCCCGGTTTTAATTTTTTTGGCACGGATAGCCAGGCTTGGAATTTCATATCTGGAACGGGTTAATCTCTATTATCAACTTTCATATTACCTTATTTTTTTTTAATTATAATTTCTTTCCCCAGGGAATCGAAGTTTGGATCAAAGAAGATGACATTTCAAGGTGTCAAATATCTTTCGAAATATGTTGCGCTCAAACATTAGAAACTTCGAGATGCGATTTAACGAAAGAGTTCGTTATTAATGAGGGAATATTCGCGAATTGTTCTTCCGTTCCTCTTTCATTTAACCATTCCACCACGTGCGTCAATGTAAAATTATACTTATGAGATATTTACTTTAAAATCAAGTATAAGCTCTTGTATCATGGGATGATGGGGGGGGGGGGTTAAAACGCAAGATTGTCATGAAATTGAAGAGTGACATTTTTAAAGCTTTTTCCCTAAAATGTTAATATAAATTGTTGTTTATACGGGAAGCCAGCTGATTTGTATTAATATGCATTTAAAGAAAGGGGGAGAAGATGTGGAGAGGGGGGGATAGACTAAATGAGTGTAAAGTGTGTGGGGGAGTGCCAATTTTTTTTTTTACTGGTAGCAGATAGGAGGGATATCTTCAACGGTATAATTAAAAACTAACGGCTAAAATATTTATGACATTAATATACAAGAAATGTTGCGAATGTTGTAAAATCGGACTAATCACATTGCACGACGGAAAATCGTGTTCCGAACTAGAATCCTTGAAATTGTGCGACAATATTGCTTTAGATTGCTGTGAATACAATATCACCAAATTGGAAATTTCGAACGAAAGTAAATGAAATAATAGAGTTTAATAAAAAGTTTAATAATATATAAGGTCCCCAAAAATGTCCTTCATCATCAAGTAAGAGCGGCGAAATGTTGTTATGTTAATAATATTATAATAATTACCTTAATCCTTCCCTAACTTGTAGATAATTATTGGGAAATGGGGAGATAATCGATTTAATAGTGGGAGTGGGCATGAGGTGGTTGAAAGATATAGTTCATCATTTCTTTATACTTTTGTTTAATATAACTTTATTTCGCTTTTTTAATAGGTAATAATATTTGTTTAATATATCTTTTCGGTTTAATGTTGTTAAACGGCTCGTTTTGAACTCTTTTTTAAAAACGGCTAACTCAATATTTTAGCCAGAAAAATATCGCCTAAGCCTTGAGATTTCGAGAATATATGCCTAGACCTTTCTTCCTTCTATGAGAAAAATCTTCAGGCTTGCGTAATATTCTTCTGGATGAAATATTGAGTTAGCTGTTTTTAAAAATCGCCTCAAAACAAGCCGTTTAACAACACTACTTCGATTCTTTTCCATTTTGCCCTCTATATTTGCTTCATATTTTTTTCTTTATCATTGTATATGGGTGACCACACTTTTTCATACTAAAACTTTAATTTGTGCCGTTTAAAATTTTTATTTGTTGTTTTGTTGCCTTCATTATATATGCTTCTTCGCGTATTTTTTTTTAGAAGAGTTTGAATGAATTATATATAAAAAATATATCTTTTTTTGAAATATTTAATACTTTTGGGAAGATTTATAACTTGGAAAAGGGATATATATTTATTTAAAAAATTCATTTCCCACAAAACTAATTATTTAGTTTGCTTTTGAAAACTTTGATCTTAAAAAAAAATTATTTGGCCTGAGTTTAAATTTTTTTACCAAAATATTTTGAAAAATTTAATTTTTGATAATAAAGTTAAACTTATTATTATTATTATAATTTTGAAGTTTGTAAAATTTGGATGAAATTGGATGTTTTTCCTTGAAAATAATAGTGTATTATAATAATTTCATTTTTAATATTATTACGTATAAGGGATTTATATTTTGAGCCAATAATAACAAAGATATTCATATTGGATAGTTTTCATATTTTACAATGAATCACATAAAATAATATGTTTTTGATTATGGATAATATTGAATTAAAATTTAGTTAATATCGGATAATTATTTTTTCGGTAAAAGTCTACTTTTTTTTCATATCTCATAAATATATTTTTTAGGTTAATAATTTTTTTAAAAATGCAATCATCCCAAACCTAGAGTTTAAAAAATATCTTCCAAGATTTTTGAAGATTTTTCGAAGATCTTCTTTGCCCAAAAATTTTGAGTAAAAATAAATCTTATTATAACTTATTATTTTTGTTGAAAATAAGTTGTAGAAAAGACTTTCGATAAAAGATGCTTTGAGCTCGGGCATTGCTCCCCTATCTGCTCGCCTACTATAAACGGGAAAAATATCTGCAAATGTCCCAATGGATTTTATAAAAGGTCAATGGATAATAATTGTGTTGGTAAAAGAAAACTTTAATATTTTATTCGTTTTTTTTTTTAATTTCTAAAGAAACTAACGTGCTAAAAAATTTAAACTGTAAATATTTATAAGGTAAATTAATTTTTATTAGAGACCTGCAGAGGTACCATTTGCATGTCCCTGCCTAGATTTTTTTAAAAAAGATTTTCAGACCCGGATTTATAAAAAATTAAAATCGGCCCGGCCCTAAATCCGGGCAGGGCTTAGAGCCGGGCCTGCAGTTCTCTGAATGGTCAATTCTATATAACTAGAGCACTCCTTATTGATTTGTTTAGAGGAGATAAGAAAGAATATTTTTCTAACTTATTTTTTTTCACATTATCATTATATTTAATAACATGTATAATAACGGCTCAAATCAAGCCATTTAACAACATTACATGTAATAATATAAATTCAGCATGTTTTAAAGCCAGACGGTTTAAAAATAACATTTTTTATAATTAAGTTAGGATGCCGGGATAATTCAAAATATAGATGGCATAAATGCTTATTAAAAATTAGGCCGGCATCTAGTTTTTAAATGAACGCAAATTTTTAAATGTACGAAAAAATAAAAATTTTATCACCAATACTAGATAGTGTTAGCATTTTAAATGATATTTATAATAGTCATCTGTAACATTAATAAATGTTTTTTGTATCATATGATAAAAATAATGGGTTAAACACTATAATTCCTATTAGAATAATAATAATAAGCATGTAGAGGGACAAAGTAAGATGGCCCAAAATGGAATTTATTCTATGCCATATTATAAGCCTATGATCAGACTTATTTCTTGGGATTAACCCAAAAATTTTCTTTGAAGTATGTTTATATTAAATTTCTAAAATACTATTTATATTATATATATTATGCATTTCAAATAGACATAAATGAATGTTTAGAGGGGATCAATAATTGCACCTACAATGAAATGTGTATCAATATATACGGGACTTATAAATGCGTTCCAGATATCACGCCATATTGTGGAAAAGGATTTATATGGAAGTCAAAACTTTTTGAATGCCAAGGTTTGACGACTTTAATTATTAACATACAATTTATGAAATACGAGAATGGATAACTTAAGTTATCAAATGTTGAGCCACTATGGTAATATTTGGAAAAGGTTTATCAGGGACCTCAATATCTTTTTTTACAGGTCACCCGGCCCTAAAATCTTATTACCAGGCTAGACCCCCTCCGTCAAGATGATTATTTAAAATCCAGAGATCGAATATAAAAATGACGAAAATAAATGTATAAAATCAATTTATAAAATTGGGTTACACGCATGCGAGTTAGGTGCGTAGCGAAAAAAAATGTACGACCGAGACCTGGTCCATTTATTTAACGCTGCGTTTACGCTTGCAAATGTTATAAGATAAATATAAAATTTTATAAACTTTCTTTTTATCATTGAAAGCGGTTTAAACGGGCTAGTGTGTTAGATATCGCATAGTAGAACACATAGCAATTGCTAAAAAAAAAGGCCAATTTTTTTTTAAGACTCATTTATTTTAAAATATATATTGTCGGAATCACGTGGTCGAGTCCAATCTACTATACGTCATCCCCTCCCCTCAGGATGATGCCACATCATTGGTTTCAGAATAAACAGGGTTCTTGCTGAATTCGAAGAACTACCGGATCGAGTACACGCACTAATATGACTATGCCAAAAATGCTCCTCGAAGATGACTATTTTTTTAAAAAAAATATATAAATAATCGTAAATAAACATGTGTTATCTCAATCATAACAAATTTTGGTTGGTCCAATATCGCACCACGCGATCGCGATATTTAACATCAATCGTTTTAAACGCGGCGTTAAAGAAGTGCACCAGAACTTGGCCCTAAAAGACCTGCATGATATTTTATTTATATTATCATAGAATTCAAAGTTTTACCTAATTTTTTAGAATAGACATAACTCGCAGTTTTTTTGGAATTATGAGAAGGATATTTTATTTAAAAATGCTAATATAATTGATTATACTTTTTATCAGTTTGCGAAAATTAGTAATTTATATTTTACCTTCGGGGCAAAAAATCTACGAAAAACAAAATTTGTGATTTTATCTTCGAAAGATTTTTTTTTTGTGGTGCATGAAAATTACAAAATAATTTACTTAATAAAAGATCTCACTACGAAAAAAAAAAATATTTGGCATTTTTTTGTAAATAAAGTTAAAAATTAAAAAGGACCGTCGTGGTAATTATGTTAATTTTCGAATATGATGTTTAGATGTAAACGAATGTGAATTTCCTGATCTGAACACTTGCGAAATGGGTATGCGATGCGAAAATTTGCCGGGGTCTTACAAGTGTAGAAGAATACTCGGGTGCGGTACAGGATACATAATCGATAATGTCACTCAAAAATGTTATGGTAATTTCTTACTAGTTTTTTACTTTACATTTCTTTTCTTTTACATATTATTATTTTAAAATAGTAGAATAAATATGAGTATTCAAACGTAAACATTGGTCAGTATTTGGACAGCTGTTCTCGAGAAAAAGACCGACCTCTCAAACTGTTCGGTCCAGTCTCGATCTAAGACCTATAGAACCGGACCTTGATCTCATACATTAGACGAAGGCATTAATGGTAGCTAATCCATTATTAATTTATAATGATAAAAATACTGGATAAATAAATAACAACCTTAATTATTTAATATCACTTCTAGACTTGGAAGCAAAAATTATATAAAGAAAATTAAAGAAAGCCATCTTTTCCCATTATTATATTTATAATATAGTTATAATATTGTTGTTGTATAACGGCTAGATTTTAATCAAAAAAAAATACATAGGGTCCGAAGATTTTGACACACAGGTGACAGAAAGGTTTGGACATCTATTAGCGTAATTTTGAGTTTTAGTATCGAAAATATTGAGTTAGCCGTATTTAAAAATCGGCTCAAATTCGAGCCCTTTAATTAAAACTATTGAGTTATTCATGTCTATATTGAACATAATTTGCCATTAGACGTGAATGAATGCGAAACAGGAACTCACGATTGCCAAGAATCGTTCGAGTGCGTAAATACGAAAGGTTCTTTCAGGTGCGTACGTAAAATCTGTCCCAAAAATCAAACTTTAGACGCCGTAAATGGACGATGCGATCTTAAAGTATGTCCACCGGGCTTCTACTTAGATATTTTTGGCGATTGCGTCGGTAAATAATAATATCTATAATTTAGTTTTTTTCTTCTTCTTTTATCAAACGACAAATCTTATCGCAAAAACGGTAAACTATAATAGAATAAATTTTGATTGACTTAAGATCAAATGAGAGCTTCGAACACGAATTAGGGAACAGAAATTTTTAGAGTAGTATGATTTTGACATTTTGCAAAAAAAATGGACCAAACAGAGACCGATTTATGGACAACTCATGAAATTTGGGGTGTGTTCGAACAGGGGTAGATCGGGAAATTCGCGCTAAATTTAAACATTTTAAACACGAATTCTAGTTCCAAGCCTGGATCGAAAATCAAAAATACGGAAACAAAAATTGAAATATTTTTTCTTATTAAAATTTTTTTTTTTTAAAAAAAAATTAGATATTGATGAATGCAAACAACTTGATATATGCCACGAGGGGCAGGTTTGCATGAATGAACAGGGCTCGTATAAATGTAAAAATACTAAATGCCACTTGGGTTATCAAATGGATGAGGATAGGAATTGCATTGGTTAGTTTATCTTCATATTAGCTGAAATATGAATCATTTCTCATTTTTATTGTATAAGCGTAGCTGGGGGGGGCAAGGGTAAATCCTCCCTCTGCAATACATCCCCCTTCTCCAATCTCCCCCAAATATTTACACAATATATCGGTATTTGGAGAAAAAAAAATAAGTAAAAGTTAATAAATTTTTTTTTAAAAAAATAACGACTTATAATTGATATTTTTTACCAAGATTGTTATATGACATAGCCCAAAGGTCTACAATAAGTCGACCAAAGACATCCAGTAAAATTTATGGCTAATACCCTCCCCCCCTCCTCCTAGCCAAATCTTGGCCATTCCTCTGTCGTGTTGGTACGAATAATAGAACCGATAAAATTGAATAAAAACAATAGAAGATTAAGATTTGGAAAATAAAGTTTTTAACAAAAAAAAAATGGAAAAGTTCCACAAGGAACAATGTTGAAAAATTTACTTACAAATAATTTCATATATTTAGAAGTAATTTTCTAATATTTACTAATAATTCTGTTTTATTTACGAATAATGCTACCGAATAACGAAAATGCTATTATTCGTATTAGATTCGAACTTTACGAAATGGGATAATTTAATCACAAAATAAAAATATATTAATTTAAATATAATTTGGCATCTAAAAAAAACAAAAGATATTGATGAATGCCAGATAGGAATCCATAATTGTCATGGAGGACAAATTTGTTCAAATCTCAAGGGTGGCTTTAATTGCGATTGCCCTCCTAATCATTATTTTGATCGCGATTACAATCAGTGCAAAAGTAATTTGTCTATGTTTTTTTAAAAATACTCATTATATTATTAATAATCTAACATAGCCTATTCAGATCACGGGGGAAATCAAATAATCACATGGAGAAGGGAAGGCGGATAATTTTATTACGGAGAGGGGAATTCATTTAACGGATCTTTAAAGGATGATCGAAATTCATAAATTCCGGTATTTCCACCGGGTAGTTAAGGTAAATCCGAAAGGTTCATACCGCTCCGGAGTATTTGGTTTTCTATAATGGATCTGAATTCAGCCGACCACATTTAAAAAATCTTTTTAATTGTCTAGTGGTCTGAACTGGCTTGATTGATTTTCACTACCACCGGGCATAGATAAAAAAAAATTAATTTAAGAGGCAGCGTCTTAGATTGACTTAATTTTGTTCTTCAATTCTGAATTCTATTCAGAAAAGCATTTTTTTTGAAAAAAATATAAATGATAGATTATGACATAATGTGTTGATATATTTAAAATGAGCATAAAGGTTTACTTATTACAATTTTTTATATCTAAAATTCACTATTTTAGGAACAGCCATCATATTCATAAAGCTTATTTTTTTTGACTAGTGTAAATAAATAAATGTCAACATTTTTTTTAAAAAACAATTTAATATATAAAACGAAACACATATAAATAACACATAAACTACACGTTTACTAGAGGTCTGCAATGCGGGTTTTTAGCCAAAAAGCCTGACCACTAGTTGTAAAAATTATTTTAATGGCTGGTTAGGTTCTTTATTTATATATTTTTTGTGTATATTTTAATTGAGCATATATAATATGCTATATTATGAAATGAAACTATATTTTTTATTAAATTGAAGTCTGTTCTGTTCATTTCGCCTAGTATTTATTTTTTTAACCCGCCCGCAACCACCCAATGTTGAAAATATTTCAGAAAACCCGTCCAATGCAGACCTCTAGTTTATATTTTTGTTCTTTGGTTATATACCACTTTATGCATATTTTAAGACAAAATTTTAAAAACTTATTTTTAGTTCTTATAATTATTGTAACTCCTATTTTTTTTTAGTAAATAGAGTTATTGGCTGTGATCCTTACAAAAATAACTGTGGTTGCGCTTCTGGATTTCAGTTATCTCGCTATTCCGAATGCATAGGTAATTTTTCATTTCATTTTAACCCGATCGTCGCTTGATTATGGGAGTGCGCCTAATCTGTTTTTTTTTGTTTGATAAACGGAGAAAATCGACTTTTAAATTTCAAAAAATTAAAACTCATCGATCAAACTCAGGTCAGACTCACTTCAATAATCTAGCGAAACCTCTACAACAAATTTTGGTTGGGAAGCTTATTCGTCTAAACTGCTAGAATTTTAAAAACGGCTGACCAAATATTTTCGCTAAAAAACTGGAGATTTTGCTCACAGATGGTAGAGAAAGGTTTAGATATCTTATTAACGAAATCTCGCGGTTTGTGCTATATAATTTTGGCTAAAATCTTAATTTACGAATAAAGCTAGCCTGTTTAACAACATAAATTAATATTCACTCTCATGGAATTTTTTTTATTAGTCTCCAAAAGGATGGCACAAAATTCAAACAATTTTAATTATTACCAATTCAGATATAGATGAATGCCTAAATACCACTCTATGTGAGCATAGCTGTAGTAACACACGGGGCTCTTACATTTGCCAATGCAAAGATGGGTATAGGTTGAATGAAAATAAGCATAACTGCGACGGTAAAATTTATTTGCCACTCTCGATTATCATTATATTAATATTATATTCAAAGATGTAAATGAATGTCACGAATTTTTCGGGGCAAATTCCCTTTGCCAAGGAATGTGTATAAATGAAATTGGGTCCTTTAAATGTGGATGTCCTGATGGATACCATCTTTTGTATGATGGGAGATCTTGTAAAGGTATAATTTTACTATAATATTAGCACTTCCTTATTAGATAAATATATGATTTAGATATAGATGAATGCATGTCACCCAATTTGTGCAAGGATGAACAAATATGTATAAACACCAGGGGAAGCTATGTTTGTAAAGGTGTAATATGTCCCCCGAATTATATTCTAAAACCGTCATACAATAAGTTAATAATCACAAAACAAAACAAATAAACAGATTATATTATATGTATAATTAATTTATGTTTAAAACATGCACCAGAAGGCTTTCGGGCTCTTCCCAAATGATTTTTGCCCCCCCCCCCCCTCATCCTTACGATAATATATTTTATACAAATACAAGCTTAAAAATAAACGATTAAATAAATTAGCTATTTTATAACAATTTTTATTTTTACAAAATTTACTAACGAACCCATGATCAGAGCTTTATAAATGCTCATTTTTAAAAGGGGATTGTTCCCATCTTTTTCACTCGTTTCAAATTCTCAAAAGTTTATCTTAAAATTTTTATACTTGTTAACAAGTTAAATCATCAATCACCAACTTATAATATTTAAACATGATATTCATACTCCCTAAATTTATGATAGCTTAAATATTTGTCCTTGAAACTAAATATCGGAATGTACTATTATTTATATCAGAGACCTGCAGAGGTACCCAACCCGGCCCAAATTTTAAAAATAGTTTTAGGCCCGGCCCGGGTATTGTATCTTCAGGCCCAGCCTATATTTTATATTTTCAGGCAAGGCCTGGATTTTTTACAAAATTTAAAATATTTAGTTTTGAAATATATGGCCCGGTAAAGAGAAATTTATAGGCCCGTCCTGGATATATTAAAAAGAATTAAAATACTGCCCGACCCGTGTCCCTTGGCCGGGCTGTGCCGAGCCTGCAGGTATCTGATTTATATATTTTTTTTAAAAAAAAATCAACGATTAATTTTTTAAGAAATATCCAGGAAAATGGTTACATGTGCGATAAAAATTGCGATCCCTATGATATCACTTGCCTGCTAAACAATGTGCTAACTTACAGATATCAATTCATAACTATGCCCTCAACCACTAAATTGTATGAACCCATCTCTATAGCCAGCATATTTCCTATAAGTAACAGCGATAAAATGAAGATACATTGTTCTATAAATTCTGGTAACTACGGAGGCTTTTTCGATATCTTAACCACTCCCAATAATTCGTGTAAGGGATTAAATTATCTATATTTATTTTCAAGAAATATATTGAATAAAGACTCGTTTAAAAACGTTTAAAACTGCAAAAACGCAAAACATTGTAAGTAAAAAAAAATCGTATACCAATTGAGTTCGCTAATTCGGAGCTTTCTATATAAAGATGCTAATCCCACTACCCTACCCCAAATTAACTATTAAAAGAAATGTATCTACTTATAGGACACCTTATATTAATTTTTATCACCGGCCCATGTTTTCAAAAACGAATCCAGTTCTTTATCAGGTTCTTTCTTTCTTTCTTTCTTTCTTTCTTTCTTTCTTTCTTTCTTTCTTTCTTTCTTTCTTTCTTTCTTTCTTTCTTTCTTTCTTTCTTTCTTTCTTTCTTTCTTTCTTTCTTTCTTTCTTTCTTTCTTTCTTTCTTTCTTTCTTTCTTTCTTTCTTTCTTTCTTTCTTTCTTTCTTTCTTTCTTTCTTTCTTTCTTTCTTTCTTTCTTTCTTTCTTTCTTTCCTTCTTTTTAGGGCTAAAGTATGTGATTTTTTAAACATACCTTTTATAACCTAAAACAAATTATTTTTGATCATTTTAAAAGTAATTTTGGCTCTATATACTTTGTAAAATTTTCGAAGGGAACTGGAAAATATGAGAATCGATTGCATGTTGGAATGATCCATCATTCGACTTTTCAATTTGGTTAGAGTTTATATTTAACTTTTAAAAATTCACCTTTTTATAAGCTCCGACCCTACCCGGATTTTTTTTAAATCATTACGATTTTACCCCCTTTGATACTGAGTGGTGGGTCTCTAAAATATAGGGTTAAAACGTGTTTTCTTTTTCATGTTTTGAAAGTTATTTTATTTTTTTCTTTTCAAATTCACCCATTTTTTTCTTTTTCGATGAAAAAAATATAACGAAAATGATGATAATTTTTTGAAATAAAATATAAATTAAATCAACTCAATAATTTAGCCAGAAATACATTAGGCAAGCCTGAAGATTTTGGTCATAGATGGCACACAAAGGTTTGGAAATCTATTGTGCAATATTTTTCTGGCTAAAATATCAAGTCAGCCGTTTTTTAAAAATCGATTCAAATCTAGTCGTTTAACAACACTAAATTAAAAACTTGTTTTTTTAAAGTTTTTTATTTTATTTTATTCAAATTCAATCGTTTTTTATAATAGTTAGAGCTTTGTGAAAATGATAATAATTATTGAACAATATTTATAAATAATAAACAATAATTTCCAGGTCAATTCAGACTTGTACAACCTATATTCGGTCCTTACGACGAAATAATTCACATCAAGATGGATGTCGCGAGTCAGTACTACGTACCCAGACGCGTTTCCCACATGTTCATGTTAAATATATTCGTTTCGAAATACAAATTTTAAGGAAAACTGAAGAAGAATGAAGAGAAAAAAAAAATCAAAATACGTTTATAAAACTAAAAATTTCGCGAATAATTTACTAAATAAATGTGATTTTTAAAAAATTGTTTAAAAATTGTTAAATTTTATTATCTTCTATATTGTACATAAATTATCAATGAATAAATTCAAAAAAATTTTTTTTTAAAACTGTTTATCTAAACCGAAAAAGCGGGAGGAAAAGATTATTTGAAATAGGCAGTGTAGGAGTGCTTCCTTTTCCGGGAATATTTTTGATGCCCTAAATACCTAAAAGCGTACTTATTTAGGAGCAAAGATATTACGGCTAACTTAATATTTTAGCCAGAAAAATATTGCTAATGCTCCGAGATTTCGCTAATAGATGTGCAAACCTTTGTGGTCCAAAATCTTCAGGCTGGCGTAATATTTTTCTGGATAAAATATTGAGTTAGCCGTTAATCGACTCAAATCGAACCTTTTACCAACACTATATTGCTCTAATTGATGGTTATAATATATTAAATTACATTATTAATACATTTTCATGTAGTTTAAATGCATTCGTAGATATGATGTATCGTCCTAATAACGAGCCATGTATCGTTTTTTAGTGCATTTTACAAAATATGAAATGAGTGGAATATTGTTCGGGGAGAACAATTATGCTTCAAAAGGATAGGATCTTTAAAATTTTATATTAAATCATATATAAATTAATAATAGATTTTATCTAATGTCCTTTCATCAGATAGTGTCATCAGTTACTAGCCTAAGTCAGGATATTGAGGACAAACTAGGGATATAGCTACATATAGTTATCTATATGAAAAGGCAGGTAGGTAAGTGGATGCCAACTATGTTCAACGCTTGTCTCAGATCTTTATTAATTGTTATAAAAGAAGCAGGTCTAACGGGAAATTCCGGTGCTTGAAAGAAAATGGCAAGCCACAGTTGGAATTTAACTTTCTCTTAGAATGAAATCTAATGCCGAGATAGGAAGAGAGAGAAAATAAAAGGAGAAAGGAAATGGGAAAGAAAGGGGATGAGGAAAAGAGAAAAGTTAAAAGGGAATGAGAAGGAAAAGATAAAGAAAGAGAAAAAGGGTAAAGGTATAAAGAGAAAGAAAAAAAAATTAAGGATAAATAAAAGCACAATAAGTGAAAGTGATGAAAGGATATCGACCACTAATTAAAATCAAATTTTCTATGCTAGGATAAACATAATCCTTTTGCAAACATTATATTTTGGACAAAAATTTTTTGTAGTATTTTATTTATCAAAATATCGAGAATCATATTATTTATTGATAATATTTTAATTAGATAATGTAATTGCAATAAAAACAAAGTGCTATATTGAAAGAATGTCTATAGGAAGAGGACAAAAATTATTTTAAAATAATTTATCTTAGTTTTACTATTAAAAACATAATAATTTGTAATTTATTTTTTATAAAAAAACACCATATTTGTTCTTAGCAATTTAATCGTAATTTGTCCCAATCAAATATTTATACACTATAACGTCAATATGTTTTTTCCGGCAATGTGTTATTTTTTTCTAATTTAAATCATTTTCTAAGCGCTTTTTTTTTAAATTTTAAAAACTGAAAATGTATTCCACCATGTTTGGAATACCTACTCTATAAATTTCCGATAATTTTGCCATAAACCTTAGAATTTAATAAAATTTATATTACATTTCCCATACATTTTTTTATATAAATCAAAAATGATTCTAAGGTTAACAGCAAAATTGTCTATAATTCATAAGATAGGTATTCCAAACATGATGGAATGTATTTCATGGTAGTTAAAAAAACGCGCTTCAAAATATGATTTAAACTTGAAAATATAGCACTTTTTCGGAAAAAAACACATTGACGCTAACATACATAATTAATGACAAGATGGAAAATCTTGTCTTGAGAATGGAATTGCTAGTAGTGGGAAAACTCTTGCCCTAAGAATGGACTCGCTAGTAGTCTGTCTTGTTGTCGGTTGTATGATAATAATATTTAAGAATGTGAATAAAGCCTTTTATTAAATAAAAAAATTTTATTATAAATTAACTGATGAAATTTATAAATATAAGATCTATTTTTATATCCAAAGTAAATCAATTATGTAAATATATATCATATAAAAATTACGTTTTCTATAAAAATTAATATAAAGTAATAGTTTAATTTTATATATCACACGATAGCCTTAAACCTTCATTATCTTAAATAAAATAAATAAAAATATTAACAAAATAAAATTGTTACAAATTATTTTCATTTTTTTTTTCATAAAATAGTTATACGCCAACTTGCGGATTAAATTTTATAGAATTATATTTTTATTTTAATCATTTTCTAAATATTGAAAGGATTTAAACCATCTCTTGAATTATTATTGTATATGAAGTTTAATGATAATTGATTTAACATTATGTTAAGGATGGAGAAACTCCATGAAGTTACCATAAAGTCTACGAAGACAGGCAAAATATAAATAATTATAATGATTAAAATGATTTGATTTAATACAAATTAAAAACGTTTCTTATATACAAAATAAGGTTGCTGCTTCTTTCGGGGGTCTTATTATTATTTATTTATATAATTTTTTTTTACGTGATATTTTGTATTAAATATATGATTGGTTCTTTTTATGATTGGTTAACTTTTTATTTTATTTTTAAATGAAATGTAGGGGAGACCGGGGTAAAACGATAGGCATTTTGCATATTTACCATAAAAATTTTAAACAAGAGTCAAACACAACAAATTATAGATCAATGTGTAGCCCCATCTCTCTTCTACAAGATAAAAAAAAGTGTAGCCCTCTACCTATAATATTTTAGGAGCTGTACAGGGGTGAAAATGGATAAGCACTAGGGTAAAGTGGTTAAAATAATATTTGACACATAGTTTATTTAACAAATATTACAAATTTAAGATTTATTTATGATTTTTATTTAAAAACTAATCGATACAATAAGGACATGTAAAATAATTATCATAATTAGCACATTTAGAATGTGCCCATTCAAGGCACATTGTACATTTTAGCCATTCATCGCCCTCGCGACTATTTTTATAGTTTTTATTACAAATAACACATAAACAATTATTTTTTGATATCTTTTTTTTCTCTGAATTAATAATTTTTTTTTATAAGGTGTAGATGTTAATATTTCTGAATTCATTTTTTTAGATATTTTATCCGATTATTGAATAATTTTGGAATAGGTATTATAGATGAAGGATTGAATACTTTATTATAATTTTTTGAGCATGATGGTAACATATCATGATAAGGTTCATCAATATCATCTGGAACATTTTCGTTCAATAATATAGATAAATCACTATCATTATTTTGAGTCACTGTAAGATTTTGAGTCACTGTAATATTTTCATCATTATTTTAAAATTCAATATTTGAGTTACCATTTGAATTATTACAGCAGATATAATCTTGTTCTGTAAATATATTTGGGTTTAAAGGAAATATGTCACATGCTAAGAATCCATTTAATATATTATTTGATGTCACTGCCCTTGGTATTTCATTTTTTAACACTCCTGGAATATCATAAATCTGAAATTGTTGCCCCACATGATTTTTAGATTGAGCATTATTAAAATTATGAAATACAATATAATTTCAATTGAGCATTTTTATTAAAGTTACCAAATTAATAATATTTAGATTGAACATTATTAAAATTATGAAATAAAATATAATTTCAATTGAGCATTTTTATTAAAGTTACCAAATTAATATTGATATTTAGATTGAGCATTATTAAAATTATGAAATACAATATATTTTCAATTGAGCATTTTTATTAAAGTTACCAAATTAATATTGATATTTAAATTGAGTTATTAAAATTATGAAATACAATATAATACAAACAATATAATTTAATTACTTGTTTAAGCGTTAATCCCATAAATGACCTACTTGCTTCTAATATGTAGTCACACAATCTAGATTCTTCTTCATTTGTAAATATTTGTTTATGATGATCTGAACTTTTAATACCAATTTTACATCTCCTTCTCAACGTTGTATAAGGTATGTTAAATTTTTTAGCAGACAAATTTAATGAAGTATTATTTGTTATTTTATATTTTATGGCTTCATTGCAGACAAATTTAATGAAGTATTATTTGTTATTTTATATTTTATGGCTTTATTTATTATATTTACATCTCTGTATATGGTTTTTCTTTTATAATTTCTCATTATTTGATTGATACAATAAAAATTATAATAAATGAATTAATGAAAAATTAATGTGAATAATTTTATATTTTAACCGTTTTACCCATAACAGCTTTACCCCTAGGTGACATATATTATAAATATCGTTATTGCGTGACTTCTAATATAGCTAAAGATGTCAGATAAATTTTATTTTATAGCTAATACATTAAGGAACATGTGTGCCAAATTTTGAATCCTGAGGATATGTAAATTTTACTAAAAGCAAAATATACTAGAGAATGATTTTTATATTTTTTGTGTAAAAAACAGTTTTTTGACAAAATATATAAAACCAGGTAAGTTTTTTAAAAGATGAACATAGGTAAGAAATTATATATAAAAATACATCTTCACACCAAATTTAAGGTCTTTATACTCAATGGTTAAAAAGTTATTCGCGTTAACATTGTTACCCCGTCAATCGCTTTACCCCGGTCTCCCCTATCCTTTTTTTGTATTTTAGATACTTTAAAATAAATAAATTAATTTTTCTAAAATAATGTATACAGTGTTTATATATGGGAGGGGAGAGGGATAGGAGCATTGTGCCTGCAAATTTTTTAGAGGGGGTAGATAAATTCTTGAGGGTTATGTATTAAGTTTTCAGATGAAACCAGGGTTGTGTAATTAACAGGTCAACTAAGGTTGAATTCAAATAAATGTTTTTTAAGACAATATTAACTTTATTTTGTATATAATAGTAAAATTTATCTATAATATTAATTTTATAATATTTTTTTAAATTCATTGACATTCAATAAATAATATTTCGTCTTGTTCTGATTCATATTCAATATTATCATTTTTTTAAATAAATTTTA